CCTTGAATATTGTAGGTAGCAATGTTGAGATTAAGTGTTTCATGTGTTTGAGACTTAAGAGAGGTGTCAAGATACTGGTGTAGGAGCTTTTGACTAATAAAAATATGTTCTAGTAATAAGTGCAGTTTGGAGGGTAAATAGATATGGGCTTCGCTAATGTTGATGTTAATAGAAAAAGTAGCATAATGTGTAAGATTATGTTGTTGAAGGTGTTTAAGAAAAAAACCAATAGTTTGGTCTTGTGTGATTAGAGGTAGATTAAAGTGTGCAAGAAATTTGGTGTAACAGACTTCAGAGTTGTAGGTATGTGGGGGTTTGTAATTGAATTTTTTGAAATTTGTATTGTAATTCTCAGAGTTATGTAATGGGGTAGTCTCTGAGAATGAGTATTTGTCTTTTACTAAGGTGCTCACCGTTTGAAGCTCAGCTCTCACAGCTGTGAAGATTTCCTAGAAACATTTTTAAATCAATTGTTTTAATATTATTCTTATCTTTACTAATATTTGCCAATTCATTACAAAAATATAAGGATCTATATCTTAAAATAGCTAAATATGCTTGAAATATTTTAATGTTTGAAGATTTACCAACTTTGATAACTATATAAGTCTTTTTTATTATTAAGAAGTTCAAGATAATTGTTTGAAAAAACTTTGTAGCCATTTCAAAATCTTTTTGGTCTATTAATGATAATATTCAAGCATAATTATTAAAAAAAAATTACTGTTAATTTATGCATTCATTAATAAAATTTTTTTGAAGCAAAGATTCACAATAATTGCTACATAAATCAAAAAAATTTGTTTAATGTTAAATTAATAGATTATTATAAGTTTAATTTAGAGGTTGACTAAAGCCTAGTAGTCATGTAACTTCACATAATTATGCCACAGTAGCTTGTAGCACAGTAGCTTTTATTACAAGCTACTATGCTACATTATTAGCTTTGATATAATAGATAATAGTTCATAATTATCAATTAGTAACCCTAATAATCCTATGTAAAGTAATAATTAATTTATTAAACTTAAGCTATATTTAATTAATTAATTAACCCTAAAGCATAATTTATTAACTATATAAATTAATTAACTTTAACCCTAAAGTGATTCTTAATTTAACCTTAAATGATGTCTAATTTAAAGCAATTTTTAATTTAATCTTAAAACAATGTTTAATTTATTGTACACCATTAAAATTTGTGTCATATCAAAAATATTTGTAATGCTACTAACATTATATTTTGAATAAAACTAATAGCAAAATTTTTTGACTTGATGCAAATTTTATTCAATATAGCATTATTAATAAACTAAAAACTAGAAATTAGTATAAGTCTGAAATATATAACCTTGAAATTTAAGTATTGTATTAACTTTGAAAAATCTAATTATATATATTCCAGATCAAAATTCTCAGGATTGTTATAAATAAAAAATGCTGAAACTATATATATTCTTAATATTTATATTATAATTGCATTAAAATTGCAATTTCAATCATCAAAATGCATAAAAATATAAGTTGTTCTAAACAATTAATTAGTTAAAAGGTTGTGTCATTACATTTGCATTAATCACATTGATAAATGATGTAAATTATATATAATATTTTAATTTAAAAATTTAATAAAATCAAAAAATATAAATATAATATGTAATATTTACCTTTATTCAAACATAGAAGAAAATATAACTGTTCAACAAAAAAAAATATGTCTCTTTAATATTAATAACAGTTTTGAAGTTTTAGCAAATAAATTTTATAAAAAATTATGATTATTAGTTTCTAACATTTGGATACAATATAATTATTGGAAATTGATAAATAGTAATTCTTAGATTATTTATAATTGTCAACTTGCAAAGTATAATAAATCAAGCACATAAAAAGATGATGTTTCTGTTGAAAATAAAGAAAAACTAGTATACATATTACTATAAAATGTAATGCAAAAATTAAAATTATTCATCTTAAAGAAACTGAAATAATTCAATTTGAATATTACAAAAATATACTTAATTATATATATACAATTGAAGATATTAATAAATTAAAATATCCTGAAATTATTAGACAAATTGTAACTGATAAAGCATGTAAATCCTATTCACCAATAGCTATTGTTATTACTGTAAAAGAGTTTGCTAAAAAAGAAGATCTAATTAGTATTGCTCAATATTTATATAGAAAAGAAGTTACAAATATTTAACAAAAACAAAGTGAACCATTAACAACTTATCTTATTAAAGAATGTGATTTAAAATCTAATATTCAAAATACAATTGAATTTCCACAAAAAAAAATTATTAAGTTGAGTATTTTAATATACAATAGTCTTAAGGTTTTTGCTTTGCTGATTCTTATCAATTACAAAAATTATAAAAATATAGATGACTTATCCTAATTGATTCAATATACAACATTAATATATATAATTGGATTCTTTTTACTTTATATATTCATAATGGTATTGGGTATTGGAACATTGGTATGTACTTTTTTCTAAATATTAAAGATGTCTATATTGTAATACAAGCTTTAAAAATTATTTATAAATTAGTATCTCAATGACATTTACAATATATGTTTTGTGATCAAAATCAAGTAGAAATTAATAGTATATATTACAAAGATTTTTTCAAAAGTTAAAAATAATGATTATGAATACAATATAATTTTTTGTACTATATATACAATGTATATATATACAAAAAATTTATTATCTACTAATATGCAGTCAAATGGTTTTAGCTATATATAAGATGACAAAAGATAATTGTAAAGAAATTATTAAAAATATAATTAATATATGTTCTTTTAATAATATTATTAGATACATTAATCATAATTATTTTAAAAATACTGAAAAATAAGTACTTTGGGACTGACAACATTTATTACTTTTACTACAGATTACTACTACAAATTCACTTAAATTCTATCATAGTAAGATTAAAAATATAATTTCAAAAATATATAGTCTTATTGGTAAATATAATATTTATTATATTATATTTATATACTGAATAACTATTAACTACAAACTAATTCAATTAAAGCATGTTATAAACTTTTTAAAATTAATAATAAGAAATGACTTGATTCAAAAAAGTTGTGTTTAATTATTTTTATAAAAAAAATTTTATATTTAATCTTGATACAGAAATACTTGAACAAATTCATAAATTTTCATATCTAATCCAAAAACTAATTGTTAGCAAAATCACTACTATGTTTATTCAAATTGAAAAAGACAAATAACTTTCTAATTTATTAATTCCTGAATACTAATACAAATTTTTTTCTTGTTACTTGATCTTTTATTAACATATATTTCATTAACATCTTTTCAGATCTATAATATTAACTAATGCTACTTGAAAAGAGTTTCAAAATTTATTTCTAAAAGGTGATATAGAAGTATATGAAAAACTTAAATGATCTGAATTATCTGTTTGGAATTCAGTAAATAGAAAAGTAGAAGCATATAAATGTCAGATAAATGAGTTTATAGAAATAGTTCAAAAAAAATATTGGGAAATTGAGAATGATGATAATGCAAGTGTAGGTACAGAATTTATGAAATATTTAAATATATTATTAGAACAATTTCTTGATATGTCAAGATAAAATGCATATAATAAGTATTGTATATTTATGAATTAAGAACTATGTTGCAAGATATATTAATTGTGTATAGTTAATTGTAACTTTCATTTTTTTATTTTTTTGTGTAAAAGTTTACTTAAAAGCAAAGTAAATAAACTTCAAAATGTTTCATAGCTTTTATTGCAGTACTGGTAATTAGATTCAAAGATATTAGGTTTCACTAATGCTAAAGATTATCTGAAATTTTGTTTATATACACAAAACATATAACACTACAATGTTTTAATGCATTTCAGGTTTTTTTTAGTAGGAGGAAAATGTGGTGACGCAAGCATGTAATCAGATCACGTTGCTACAAGGCTTTAGTGCAACAGAAGGAATCATTCAATGTAATACAATGTTCATGTATTGTCACATGTTGATCAGCCAATCAAATTGTAAGTTTTAAAGAGAAAAAAAATATCAAAATCAAAGTAAAATTAAAATCACAATAAATTTAGAACTTAAAATAAATATATTTTTTATTTTTTGTGAAGTATATAAGCATGTCATAATCTTGTCTATTTACCAACTAATTGACGAATTCGCATCAATTATTATTATCTACCTATAAGAACAAATAATCTTTCGTATAAATTGTAATCTAGAACCAAGCGTCATGGGTTTTTCGAATAACCTTTCATGTATATAGTATTATCTAAAACCAGAAACCACAATCTATCTAATAATATGACGGCTATTCTAAAAGTTTTAAAGTTTTATACATGTATATATCTTTTCTTATCCTATCAAAAAAAATATATAAAATATATACGTATGTAGTTAGTTCGTATTATTATATATTTGTTCAAACTTTTAAAGACTTTTTTAAACATATAAAAAATTATACGTATAAACTAATACTCAAACCCACACTATTCGTTAAATCGTTGCTTCTAACGGTTTTTACTGTTCAACGTCTAGATTTGTAGTTCAGTGTTTCATAATTTACTTACTAACATATACATCTTTACAAGGTAAATCGTCATATAAAAGTTGGTGGATTCAAGTGGATTCAACCGATATTGTTAAAATACGGTGTGAAAGCTTCAGGTTTGACTAGTTGACTTACGCACTTTCATAGAGAGAATTGGCTACACAAGCCTCGTGAAAAAGTACTTTAAAATGTATAAATTACAACGTTAATCGATTGTGTAACGTGTTTCTATTTTTAGGTACGGCTCCTCCTGTTCTTTAGCGCACCTCTAAATTTAGGAATTATTACGTATCATTATTGTTATAATGATAATTGTAGACCACAGTTAATTTTTTTTATTAAGGATGAAGATTAAATGGCTAAAGTGTTTAAATGATTCATACAAAAAGATAGTATGTGCATCACTGTGGTATTCGGTCAATACAGCAGAGACAGTACCCGATCCAAAGTGAACCCCTCTCGCCTGTGATCAATCACAAGTTAAATCATTTATGTTGGATTCAATTGTGATGGATATAATCTCTCACCAGTTTTAATATATGTGCAACATTAACGGTCTCTGCTGTTTTCAGTCAACTATCAAACCCGTATAGCACAATATAATTTTTTTCTTGAATTTAGTTATCTGGAAAGTAATCAGATTATTTTATATAATACAGTAATAGTAAAGAATGACTTGCGTGTTTAATCTCATTTTTAGAATGCTATGTAAACACCCAATTGATTCTTTACAACAGTCCTGTTTCATATTATGTATAAGAATGAATGATATTTCGTTGCAAGTTAAAAAATACTAGTAAAACTTAATTATAAACACGTTTAAGAGAGATCTATGCTAAAAAAGTAAAGTCTAGACCTCTAAAAACGTGAAAGAACAAAAAAAGTTAATAATGAATTTTATATAGTACTAGTACATTTGTATAGTTGTCCGAATGTTCCAGAGCAGAGAAGTACACTTTGACATTCAAAGCCTTTTTTGACATGTTCAATGTTCAAACGTCTAAGTGTCCAAAGCTCATCTAAGCTTCAATAATTAAAATTTAGTTTAAAAAGAAAAAGATTATATATATATTTTTTAATCCTGAATATTTTATTTAGAAAGTTAAATAGATTACCTTAATATTTAAAACTGTTCCAACTTTGTCCAAAGGCTGCCTGGGAAATACCTGCCCCAGTGTATAATAAATATATAAAGTAAAATATTTATACATTAATATTTTAATATTTTAACACAATGTTCCCAAATAACCAAAAATTTTTTTACTAAGGTAACTAATAGTATTGTATATTATTAGCCAGCAGAATAAATTCTAAATCCAAATGACGTTAAATGATTTTAAATGACATTTCAAAATGCGAATGATCTGGTCATTTGTGAACACTGTTTTAACACCCAAAAACCTAATATTATCTTCAATTTAAACTTTTACCCATAATTCTTATCCTAACCTATATAGCAGCAACTTAATTTTTAATAGCAAAATTACTTAAAGTTGATATAATAATTAAAAGTTTATATAAAATAACATTATTTATTTCTGGTTTTCTGAAATTTAATTTTACGGAGATGAGCTATTCAAATTCTAATATGATTGTTTTTGTAAATGGAATTTCAGCATTCATGAAAATTGTTCAATAAACTTAACAATTTTATTAATAAAATTTATTTAAGTTAAATTAAATAAATATGTTTAGTATTTAATATTTAATATATATCGTATTTTGTTAGGTTAATATAGGGATATTAACGACTTGACTTACATCGTATTTTACCCAGTCAACTCGACTTTTAGCTGATTACATAAACATATATTTTACAAGCATAATTTATTGCGAAGCTATTTTTTGCTAACCCGAAATATCTCATATTCATCTACCGAAAAATATGAAAAACTGCTTTCGTATGTAGATGCATCTCTAATTCGTTTTTCATAGGAATATTGATGACACCAACATTTGCAATCTTGATCCGAATTATCTGACAATGTTAAATCCCATCCACCAAAAGTTGGTGCACGACTATTATGACAACAAATTGCATATCCTGGTTTTTTTACACGACTTAAAATAGAATTTTGAATTGTATCATTTTTCAATGAAAAAATAAAGCTATCATTGCAATTCTTATAATATGTATTTTCAACTGGTTTATCCCATCCAATAGGATTATATCCACCAAGGATTTCATCAGTATCTTTAACCTTCATGACTACAACAAGATGTGTTTGCTTATCACATAAATTCCAAAATGAATCAGCAGTAAAACCATCTCTAGTTCCACGAAGAATTAATTTAAATTCATATGGATTATTTGTTGCAGAGTATGCATTAGCTTTTTTTTTATCAATCCATGAAGCAATTATTAATGTTTGTTCTTCATTAATAACTTCTGAAAATGGTTCAGTAATTCTAGTCGGTAATTTTGGTTTTAAAAGTGCACGAGGCGGGAGAATTATTGATGATATTTGTCGATTTTGTGAAATAAACTTTCTTGTTATATCATCCCAAAGGTTCTTTTCCAGTATTTGTTGATATGGTTGTACATTATCGATAATTTCATCACCAGACATATAAAAGTAACGGATAAGAGGCAAGCAATTTTGTAAAGTAGTTTTTAAAGTAAG